AACTAGGTGGCTTAGAACAACAAAAGCTTATTGTCTCACAGTTCTGGTGTCTGTAGGTCCATGCCCTTCCAGAATCCTCTAAAGAAGATTCTTCCTTGCCTCTTCCAGCTCCTAGTAGCCTCATGTATTTCTTGGCTTGTGGAAGTACAACTCCAGTGTCAGTCTTCACTTGGCTGTCTCTTTCATTGAAATACCATTATTTCTATTTATCAACCCAGTCTTGGAAATTAAAAAAATCTTGGCAACAATGAATTGACAAAACATTCAATGTAATGTATTAGAAAAAAACTCCAGAAAATAAAAAAGGGATCCTGGTTGTTTAAAACAACTCAAATATATTTTGACAAATTTCTCACAGATTGTGCCCAAATTTCCCTCCTCTTATAAACATACCAGTCATCTTCCTCCTCCATTTGATCTCATCTTAACTACTTATACCTGTAACAAAGCTATTTACAAGCAAGATCACACTCTGAGTTACCAGTAGGCTAGAGCTTCAGTGTATCTTTTTGGGGGAACCCCAATCAACCCATAATACCAGTAACTGCAGCTATGTCATGAACAAGCCAGATAAATTTTGTCCCTCTTGTGACCCCAAATAGGAAATGTCTTAAAATGACACTGGTCATAGAGAAGATACAGCAAAAGTCTAATTAGAGTGGTCCACACACATCCCTGCTAGCAAAAATCTCAATTTGTTCATACACATAGTGGATTTTTAAAAATATATAAATTATGCTTAAATTATATCTATTTTAAGCCCGTATAGTTTACCCATAAGTGACACAGAACGTCAGCAAATCTGCATTTTATCTTCACTGTTTCTAAATAAAAATGAACTTAAATGGAAAACTATAAACAGCAGCTTCAAAGCAATCAAAAACCTATGGCAGAGTGGGCTTCAAAACCAAACCAAACCAAACTTTCTTCCATCCATTATCCTCAGCAAACTTACACAGGAACAGATAGCCAAATACCACATGTTCTCACTTATAAGTGGGAGCTAAATGATGAGAACACATGAACACATGGAAGGGAACAAGACATACTGGAGCTTATCAGAGGGTAGAGGGTGAGAGGAGAGAGAACATCAGGAAAAATAACTAATGGACTAATAAGTACCAAACTTAATACCCGGGTGATGAAATAATCTGTACAGCAAACCCCATGACACAACTTTACCCATGTAACAAACCTGCACATGTACCCTGAACTTAAAATAAAAGTTAAAATATGATATTCTGGTCATATAAGACCAAGGAAAAGTCCCATATGTGAAGTATTAGAGAACTGTTAACAACTGTATATAAAATTGAGTTAAATTATATATGACAAGCAAAAAGAAGAGTTGGCCTTGCCAGAAGGGGTAGGCCCACCAGAAGTATAGAAATTAGGAAAGCCCTCCCACAAAGTGTAGCGGTGTCAAGTTTGAAGGATTGGCCGAGAGGACATCGCTTTGCCTTACCAACTCTTCCTGCCTCCTACCCTGTTGTGTATTTCCAACAATACACAATAAATGAAGAGGTAATGAATGAGAAGATGGTCTTCCTCCCATGGCCCACTTCTTTTCCTCTGACTTCCTTCCAAGTCTAGTAAGCACTCTTTTGTGGGTCTCCCCTCATTCTGTAAAACTCTCCTCTTCTGTCAATGGAAAGTACTGTGTTTGTAGCTAGTTACATATGAGGAAAACTTGAAGCAATGTTTCTTGTCATTGTTTTTCCAGGAGCAATATGTCTTCATTCATGATACGCTGGTTGAGGCCATACTTAGTAAAGAAACTGAGGTGCTGGACAGTCATATTCATGCCTATGTTAATGCACTCCTCATTCCTGGACCAACAGGCAAAACAAAGCTAGAGAAACAGTTTCAGGTGAGTCCTCTTGGATGTTACCAGAGAACCGAATGTCCCTGCCTCTTCTCATTTGAGTTGACAAGGTCATGTTGAGTGGGCAGTGTTGGTACAATGGCTTTGTATTTGAGCCATCATTGTTAGTGCCACATGGTAAATTTCAAGGAGAAACATAATTCTGAGAAGCAAGAGGAAAAGTTCTCAGAAACCTTAAACTAAGTTTAATGCAAACTTGGTTGAGAAAAGAGGGGCACGGAGCATAACAGAATGAAAAGAAAGAACTTATAAAACAGAATATGTAAGTGCACTTTTTACTTTGAAAAAAAAAAGCAGACCACTTAAACATGAGTGCTGTGGCTCAGGCTGTTCCTGATACTCTTTGGAAAAATCTGTGTCTCACTTGAAACCTCTGGACCAGAGTAGTCCACACTGGAATAATAGCCTCTTCAACCCCAGTTTCTCCCCCTCACCCTGTCTCAAGGCCATAAGCCAGAGACGAGAGTGTGTTTTGTCCATATTGTACCTCCCACAATACCAGCTCTCTGAATTTCAGAAATCAGTAGGCAAAGAATTCAGAAAGCAGGTGTTACCAGACCTGCCAGCTGAGACCAAAGCATTTACAGAATCGTAGCTTTCCACAGCAAGGGGGCTGTGTTATTTGCTCTACATTGTTCCTGTGCTATCTGCTTACTTCTCAGAGTTCCTGAAGAAATAGGGCCAAATTCTGAAGAATGCGTATCTAGGAAGAATTTGGAAGACCTTAGAAAAGCCCAAGAGAGTTAACAAACCTTGAGATTTCACTTATTTTTCCTGCTTTGTTTCCCAGTCTTCAGCATAGAAGATGCTGGCCATCATGAATTCCTTGGGGCCTTTTGCCTTTTAAAAAACTGCCTTGTATGACTTTGGAGGTGTAAGAGAAAGATTGGGGTGAATACTGAGCTTAGAACCTATTGTCAGAAGTCATAAATGCTTATCTCAGTCATAAAAGAATGCCTCTTGGGGGAGAAAGAGTATGCAGTTGGGTTTCAGATAATAAAGAAATGTTAAAATGTAATTAAGTTGTTAAGATATCTTTTCCCTAAATAAGTTACACACACACACACACACACACACACACACACGATATTACCCATTTCAACAAAATTCTCATTTAAATATGATTTGCCACTGTGTATTTATATAAAAAAAGAGATATGACTTAAGCTAAATAATCCAGGATCAAAATGAAAATACGAGTTATAGGGTCAGAATTCAATTGAAAAGAGAGATATTTAACTCTCTTTCCTGTTAACATCATAAATAGGTAAATGTATTTCTGTCTATGTGTTTGTACCATCCCATTAAATAGATATCTATTCAAGTTTGTCCATAGAAAAATTTCCTTAAAATAAATTGATTATCTGTTTATTTAACAAGTACTTATCAGACACCTACCAAATGCCAGGTTTTTGTGTTACTGGGTGCACACATGAAGTAGAAGATAAATAAATAAAGCACAGCCAGTTCCTTGTCTTACAGTACCTGCAGTCTAATGGAAGATACAGGTAAGAAAACACAAACAGGCCAGGTGCAGTGGCTCACGCCTGTAATTCCTCTGTTTTGGGAGACCATGGTCAAGAGTTGGAGACCAGCTTGGGCAACAGAGCAAGACCCTGTCTCTACAAAAAGTTAGCTGGGTAGGTAACATAAGCCTGTAGTTTTATCTACTCAGGAGGCTGAGGTGAAAGAATTGCTTGCGCTCAGAAGTTCAAGATTACAGTAAGCTATGGTTGTGCCACTGCGCTCCAGTCTGGGAGATAGAGTGAAACCCTGTAACTGAAAAAAAAAAAAGAAAAGAAAAGAAAGAAAGAGATAAATAAAATAATGTGAAAATGCCATTATAAAGGTAAAACAGGGTGCTATAGGAGTACAGGTAAGGATGCAATTTACCAGGGAAGAATTGTATAAGATATATTTAAGAGTTAAACACAGGATTCGGTGATTCATTGGACATTGCAGAGAGAGAGGAGAGAAAAGACACGTGATAATTACTCAGATTCTGCTTGGGCACTGGGAAAGTAGTGATGTCATTCACTATGACTGAGAATTCAGGAAGAGAAGGTGGTACATTCTTAAGGGGTGTGGTGAGGGAGAAGGTGGTGAGATATGTCTAAATCTACCTTATTTTTAGGTTCTTGGGAGATGTCCCAATAAATATGTGTATTTGGCAGTTGAATACTGTGTCTGAAGCATAAGAAAGAGGTCTGGCCTTAAGAAATGGATTAGGGAGTGATCAGCTTAGAGATGTTTCCTTGAAGCCTTGGAGTTGGTTAAGATAGCCATCTAAAAATGAAATGTCTAAGAAACATTAGAAAGGATTATCTAAGAAAATGTTTTAGTTAATCAGTGAATGGCTAGCCCACAAAAGAAAGGGGGAAAAGTGGCATCAGAAGGTAGGAGAAAATTTGGGACAGTGGGATACACTAGAATCCAAAGTAAATAATGTTTCATAAAAGAGGAAGTGAACAGAGATAGCAAGTGCTAATGACAAATCAAGTATGTTGGGAATCGAGGAGGCCATTGTTTTTAGACATAAGTCATTGCTAACCTTTGTCTAAGAGCTATTTCAGGAAAGTATAGCATTGAAGCCAGATTACAGGGAGTTAAGGAGTAAATGGATTTGAGGAATTAATGACAATTATGTAACTCTTTTAAAAAATTTACTCTATACAGAATGATTAAGATAACTGTAAGAAAACTTTGAGTTAGAGAGTAAGATGGGGGCGTGTTTATTTGGGGTTTCTTTGCTTATGTTTTAATGTGAGACATGTGAGCTTCTTTACAAACTAGTGAAAAGGGGATAATTGGAGTGTGCAGAGACCCTGAGTGGAACAAAGAGGCAGGAATTCAGGACATAGGTAAAGGAATTAGTGGTCGAAAGCAGTAAAATCTAAATGCATGTTCATAGTATTACACGTATAGGCTGGGGCAGAGGGAGTACTCTAGAGTTTCTAGTCTCACTCTGTCACCCAGGCTGGAGTGCAGTGGCATGATCTTGGCTCACTGCAATATTCCTCTCCCTGGATACTTAAGTGATCCTCCTACCTCAGCCTCCTGAGTAGCTAGGACTATAGCAGGTGTACACAACCATGCCTTGCTAATTTTTTTTTTCCTCATTAAACTTTTTTAATGGGTCTCAAAATTCTGTGAGAAATTTTTGGTCAAGTTGTTTCCATTAAAAAGTACTGATTTAAAATCTAATAACTTAAAACTGCCACAGGCAAAAAAGAAAACGAAAGTGTTCCACAAAACATTCTCCTTTCCTTCTGAAGGTTTTACGATGCATTGTTATCATTAACCAGTCTTTTACTACTAAACTTAAATGGCCAATTGAAACAAAGAGTTCTGAGATGTTCTTCCTCCACCACTGATTAAGACCGAGGTGGCAGGTATTAGGGATAATATTCATTTAGTCTTCTGAGCTTACTGGGCAGACTTGGTGACCTTGCCAGCTCCCACAGCCTTCTTGTCCTCTGCTTTGATGACACCCACCGCAACTGTCTGTCTCCTAGCATGAACAGCAAAGCGACCCAGAGGTGGATAGTCTGAGAAGCTCTCAACACACGTGATCTTTCCAGGAACCATATCAACGATGACAGCATCACCAGACTTCAAGAATTTAGGGCCATCTTCCAGCTTTTTACCAGATCAGCGACCAGTCTTTTCCTTCAGCTCAGCAAACTTGCATGCAATGTGAGCTGCGTGGCAATCTAGCACAGGGGCATAGCCAGCGCTGATTTGGCCTGAATGGTTCAGGATAATTACCTGCTTCCATTGGTGGGATGTTCTTGCTGTCACCAGCAATGTTGCCATGACAAACATCCTTGACAGACACACTCTTGATATTGAAGCCCACATTGTCCCCAGCAAGAGCTTCCCTCAAAGCTCCATGGTGCATTGCAACAGATTTCGCTTCAGTTGTAATGTTGACTGGAGCAAAGGTGACCACTACCAGGTTTGAGAACACCAGTCTTCACTCAACCAACAGGAACAGTACCAAATAACACCAATTTTATAGGCATCCTGGAGAGGCAGGTGCAAGGGCTTGTCAGTTGGAGGAGTTGATGGTAGGGTGCAGTCCAGAGCCTCAAGCAGTGGGTTCCACTGGCATTGCCATCCTTATAGGTGACTTTCCAATCCGTGAACCAAGGCATGTTAGCACTTGGCTCCAGCATGTTGTCACCATTCCAACCAGAAATTGGCACGAATGCTCCTGTGTCGGGGTTGTAGCCAGTTTTCTTAGTGTTAGTGCTAGCTTCCTTAGCGACTTCCTCCTATCTCTTCTGGCTGTCGGGTGGCTCAGTGGAATCCATTTTGTCAACACCAACAATCAGTTGTTTCACACCCAGTGTGTAAGCCAGAAGGGCATGCTCTTGGGTCTGCCCATTCTTGCAGATACTAGCTTCAAATTCACCAACACCAGCAGCAACAATCAGGACAGCACATTCAGCCTGAGATGTCCCTGTAATCATGTTTTTGATGAAGTCTCTGTGTCCTGGGGCATCAGTGATAGTCACGTAGTACTTGCTGGTGTCGAATTTCCACAAGAAGATATCAATGGTGATACCATGTTCACGCTCGGCTTTCAGTTCATCCAAGACCCAGGCATACTTGAAAGAGCCCTTTCGCATCTCAGCAGCCTCCTTTTCAAATTTTTCAATGTTTTTTTTGTCGATGCCACTGCATTTGCAGATTAGATGGCCAGTAGTCATGGACTTGCCCGAATCTACGTGTCCAATGACAACAATGTTGATGTGAATCTTTTCCTTTCCCATTTTGGCTTTTAGGGGTAGTTTTCACCATGCCTGTGTTCTGGTGGCAAACCTGTTGCAAAAATGCACCTTGCTAATTTTTAAAATATTTCTGTAGAGATGGGGTTTCACCATGTTGCCCAGCTGTTCTCAAATTCCTGAGCTCAAGCAATCTGACTGCCATGGCCTCACAAAGTGCTGGAATTACTCACGTGTACACTGCGCCATTGTACACATATTCTAAAATAAAACTGTTAGATGCAGAGGGAAAGGGGAGATAATTTCAAGGAGTCTATATCATATCAGTCATTTTCTCAGAATGTAATATAGTAAAATTTGGAAATTGACAATGAAAAGTTGCCCCCAAAATTTTGATACTTGGGCATTAAAATACCCTTTTTAATAATATACATTTTTAAGAGGAAATTATAAAATATTTAGAATTAAAGGTCAAAAGAAGCACTACATAATATTTTTAAAGTTTTAAAAATTAAATGGAAAATTAAAATGATTAAATAAAAATTTAACAAAATGAAATGTAGGTTCTGTCAAAAGGCTATTAAAATAGACAAACCTGTGTCCAGATTGATGAAGGGGGGAGAGAAAATGTGAGTAAATAATATTGAGATTAAAAAATACAGATATAATTTACAAACATTTTTAAACACAAAAACATACTATTAACATATTTGTGGCAATATCTTTGAAAACCTGCATGAAATAAATAATTTATTATATGTTCTAAAATAACTAAAAGCGTATCATTGGATTGTTTGTAACACAAAGAAAGGATAAATACTTGAGATGATGGATGCTCCATTTGTCCTCATGTGATTATTTTGTATTGTATGCCTGTATCAGATAGCTCATGTTTTCCATAAATATTACACCTATTATTACATCCAAAGAAATGAAAAATAAAAAAATTAAAGGACAAATATAATAAAAATACGTTAAAATATATATAGAAAATTTAACTAGCTTAATAACCATTAAAGAAATCAAATCAGTTGCCTAAAATCCCACCTTCAAAATATAACCAGTTCCAAAAGAATTTAATGTCACATTTTACCAATTTTTAAGGAACAGAAAATTCCAAATGTTAGCATAAAAAAATCCAGGTGGAAAACTAACCCAGCTATGTTATTGGACAAATATGCCTTTGATTCCAAAACTGAACAAAGACAGAATAAGACACTTATAGGCCAGTATCAATAATCTTATTTCAAACAGCAACTCAAATCCAGCAGTGTATTTCTTTAATATCATGAGCAATTAGAGTTTGTAGGGTTTATTCCAAAAATGAAATGATGGTTTAACACTGGAAAATATGAATAGATTTACATAGAGGAACATTATGACCCTGTCAATTAATACAGGAAAAGTAGTCAATACAATTCTATATTGTTCATTAAAAAAAAAAAAAAAAAAACTCTTAGTAGACCAGAAATAGAAGAAAGCTTTCTTAGCCTTTGAGAAAGTATTTATCCTAAAACTACAATAAACATCACATATAAAAATTACAATTGGAAATGTTCACAGTAGATTCATGAAAATATAAGGAATGTCAATTATTGGCACTATTATTCAACATTATCCTGGAAGTTGGATTAAACTAGAAAGAGGTAAAAAGGTGGGAAAGGATTTACAGATAGACAATATGACTACCTACAAAGAATATCAGGAGAAACAAAATGGAAAATAATCATCTTTTATTAGAGTTCAACAAACATACATGAAAATCAATAGCATTGTTATTTGTTAGTTTTGAGTGATTAGAAAACATATTAGAATAAAAAAGAACCCAATCATTAACAACAACAACAAAACTTCCTCATCTCAAAAAATACACTTATCAAAATGTGCAGTAAATAATACAAAGAAATTTATAAAGTGAATTGAAAAGCATAAAATTATGTCCAAATAAAATATAAATGTTGATACATGGAAATATTAAGATATTGCTTCTCCTTAAATTGACTCTAGAAGTCATTGCAGTATCAATCAAATTTCCAGCAGGATTTTTCATGGAAAATGTGGAACAGATTTTAATTTAGCATGTAAAATTAAAGGGCCAAAATATACTTACCAGGAAATTATAAATAGTAAAAAGGAAATTATAAGTAATAGAAGAATTCTGTTGTACTGTATATGGAAGACTTATGGTGTGATACAATAGTATTGGAAAACCAAAGAATCTAGCAGAGGAATGATGCATTTGAGGAAATCAGTTATATGGCAGAGATGACATTACATATCTGCGAAGAAACAGAAGACTTATCTTTAAATAACGTTGGGAAATTTTTCATGTCAAAATTAGTAACATTGTATCTCTACCACTCTTCAAACACTAAAATGTATTCAAAATGGATTAACTACCTAAAGGTGAAAACAAACCTTTATAACTATTGTAAGATCATTTTAGAAAAGAAAATATTGGGTTGGGCGCAGTAGCTCACACCTGTAATCCCAACACTTTGGGAGGCCAAGGCAGGTGGATTGCTTGTGCCCAGGAGTTTGAGACTAGCCTGGGTAATGTGGTGAAACCCCATGTCTACAAAAAATACCAAAATTAGCCAGGTGTAGTGGTGCACACCTGTAGTGCCAGCCACTTGGAGGCTGAAGCAGGAGGATCTCATGAGAATAAAAGGTCAAAGTTTCATGCACTCCAGCCTGGGCAAGAGAGTGGGGACCTGTCTCAAAAAAAGAAAAGAAAGGAACAGAAAGGAAAGGAAAGGAGAGGAGAGAAAATAAAATACATTGGAAAGCATCTCTTAATAACTTCAGGATAGAGAAGGACTTCTTAAGTAAAATCATAATTTGCAGAAAACTATTAAAGAAGAAAAATAAATTGACTTTAAATCTCTCTGTGATTAAAGAAACTGAAGACATTTCCAACTTTTTACACGTTATAGATTTGCATTCCTACAATGAGAACTCCCTACAAATTAATTAAGTGGCAATGAAGTAAAAACATGAAAAGGCAACCAAGGAGGATATCTTAATGACTAATGAACACTAAAACTTTACAGTTTTACAGAAATTAAGACAATGTGAATCAAAACCATGATATACTATTTTTCATTTATCCGACTGTCAAAATTAAATACTGATGAATCCTAATGCTCTATAGAAACCGTCACTCGTGTGCACATTAAGAGACATGCAGGAGATGCGTATAGCTATAAAACTATACAATACCAAAACACTGCAAATACCCAAACATTAACTAGTTAAGGAATAAACAGAATGTAGATTATTTGTGTAATGGAGTAGTAACCGAAGGAATAAATAAAATTGAATTATATGCATACACACACACACATACACACACACACACACACACACACACACACACACACACACGATATAATTTGCCTCCAAACATCTGTGTGAGATTTAAATAGAGGAAATGGAGGTTGCACATCTATAAGCCATAAGGAACATTCTCTCAATGCTAAAAGAATAACTAGAGATTTCTTTGCTTCTTCTAACTCCTCCGCTAGTGTAAAATGTAGATGCTCCAGGAAGTTTACTAAAGCAAGGTTTAATTCAAGAAATTATTGGAAAATATGTCATATATATTTTTTAGTCAGTATCTTACCTTGATTGGGGGGTGTGTGTGTGTGTGTGTGTATGTGTGTATGTTTGAGTATTTGGGAGACTTAAATGAAATAACCTATATATTTTTTACTCTCTTGTCCAGCTCCTGAGTCAGTCAAATATACAGCAGAGTGACTATTCCACAGCCCTAAAGCAATGCAACAGGGAAAAGAACCGAACTTCTTCCATCATCCCTGGTAAGTTATGTTTAACCTTGAAAAGACAACTTTTTAAAAATAATAAAAGCCTTGTAGGCAATTTGGCAATATTTGCTTACCTTTGGACAAATGGAGCACATTCAAATATTTCTAATTTTGTCTGATATGTAACTGTTACAAAGGACTCAGAAACCCTTTAAGTCTCATCTAAAAATGCAAAATGTATAGAAAAATCAGCTTACAGATCAGAGACCTTCAACTTGAAAAATGCAGCTATATTTCATTTCTGGCATGGGAGAAATATGTTTCAATGCTGTGAACATGTTTTTTTTTTTTTTTACAATGAATGTTCTGTGTTCCAGTGGAAAGATCAAGGGTTGGCATTTCGTCCCTGAGTGGGGAAGGCACAGACTACATCAATGCTTCCTACGTCATGGTAAGTCACAGAAGTCACTGCGTTACAGGGATCAAAACCAGAATGGGCTTCCAGAAGCAGAGGCTGCAGGCATAGGCAATATGATCGGTAAATATAAGTCAAATGTCTTGACTGCAAGCCCACAGTCTGCAGCAACAATTGAAGTAACAGCATGCTTTTATGTGTGCTGGGACTGAAGAAACCTCATGCAAGACAAATTACTAGATGCAGGAACACAGAAACTCACCATTCAGGGCTGATGAATAGATATAAAACTTATACCTGCTTATCTAAAAGGCTTTATTTCCTTTACTAAGACAGAGCCCCTGAGCAAATCCAGGATTTACTGGCTTCAGCAAAGCCCAACCTCACTGACATCGCCACTCCAGGTTTGCAGCATGACTCACCCTGGAAACTGGGTTTGTTACAGAACCTGGATTTCTAAAGATACAATGCTTTTCTTCTGCATTTAGGTCTTCTTGTGAGGGATGAGAGCTTTAGTAGCTGTTGTGTGACCTTCATTAACATTTTAGGTCAATTAATCACAGAGCTTGGCTTCAGATGAAAACCTCCTAATTCGTATTCCAAAACTTCTGTTCTATTTATCCAACAAAGAAAATATTAAGGAATATCTATGCAGGAAACATGGGGATGTGTGGTAGTGGCATCTAAATACATTTCACATTTTGAATGAGCCAATGGGTGATAGGAATGGGATCTGAAAGCAGGAGGGGCTAGAAGAGCCAGGATTTTAGTAACAGTATAAACATCATGATTAATCCAATAGCTCTAGCTTCTAGGTGCCTGTAGCAAAGTATGCAAGGTGTCTCCCTGGTTCCTCTCTTATAGAGGCAACCAAGGTGTCTGGACACCAAAGTGCAAAATGTAAATCTCCTGTAGATT